TCCACGAGCTTGTCACTCATATCGTCCACTGCATTGCAATCTTCTGGGCATTGAAAACGGTTTTGTAACTTGAGCTGAAAGCTTTCGGGACTTTGGGTTATAGCATGAGGAGAACGGAGCGTTGACTTCATTAGACGACACCTCTCCAACTTAACGTTTAGGTTCAGTGTGCCTCTCACCATTCGGTGATCGCTGCCGGTTTTCACCCTCGCGATCACTGAGACATCGCTGAACAGTTGTCGTCTGGTCGTCATAATGAAGTCAATCTCATTTTTTGTCGAACCGTTGGTGATGCGTAAACCTGTATGACCGTTTGGTGATTCTGGGTATAAGTTCTTTTAACTATTACTTATTGTGTGGTATAAGGTACGCAACCCTGGTCGACACACACAATCTTTAGAACGTTTTGAGTGAACTTTAGAACGTTGTTAACGAGAGACTTGTGGACGATAAATCCGACACCTCCTTGGGACAGATGGTCGCCCTCCCGGTGATAGAACAAGTTGCCGAATTCGAGGATTATCATGTCCTTCCCCTCTCTTCGGACCTCAGATAATCCTATAATGTTTCAGCGCAACTTGTCTATCTTTTCTTCCAGCTCCAGGATCTTCTCGTCAGTCCTCAGGGTGCGTGCGTTATAAGTTGCCAGGTCGAGTCGTTGTATGTGGCAACCGAACCTCAACCGGAGATTCTTAGCACCCCATGCCCCGCCGTTACTGTGGCCGTCACCGTAGCCAGGAATAGCGGGGCCGCCGGGGACTGGAGACCGTCTCTTCGTAACTTTAATCATGGGGAGTATACTGCCATAGTTGCCACGCTTGGCGAGCAGGTTGGCAACCGCAGTTTTTTATTGTTGTTTTGCTGTTACCAGAAAGATGCTGCTGCCCATCTTCTGTCTCAGTTTCCCTCTGTCGCCTCTTACGACACCCACGGGAAGATATGGGGTGGTGGGTATTCTTACCCGCCACTACAGATGGTTTGCATATAAACTTGAGCACTATAATCCTGTCCTGCGCAGATAGCTAGTCCCCGTTAAGACTGGCCGCCGTGACCGGAATTCGGTCTGGAGAACATTGTTATTGTAACGATAGAAAGAAAACTCTCCTATGACGCAATCTATGGGGGGGAGCCTATATTCAGCATTGGACTTCAATAGGCTGTAATGGATGGCTTTACAGAAGATAATCTACCAGGAGCACATGACCCACTGAGAGGTGAAATTATTAAATCAACAGTAACATTATAGCTATAGCAAATAGCTATAGCATTGCCCTAGGAGGCAATCTATGGAGGGGGGCTATGTTCAGCAGTGGACTTATATAGGCTGTGATAATCAGTAATTTATGGGCTTTTAAAGCAGCAAATCATAAATATAGTTATTTTTCTACAAAACACAAAGTAAGATAAAATAATAATTGTATTGTTCAATCAGTCACATGCAAAACACGTTTTCTTATCAATATAATAAAAAATTATATGGGTCTTACAGTAATATGCAATTAAAACGTAATAATGTTTTTATTAACAATCTGTGTTATGACCTGCCATCGGTTTTATATTCATTTTCCCTTGTATATGATAATATTATGTCTCTTTGGAAGTTATGTCTCTATGGCGAGAAAATCTGTAAGATTTTTCAGTAACGACCCTCTTTCTATAGAACGAGCGAGATGGAATAATATCCATCTCCCTAGCACTTTTTCTTATCTTGCCCATGAAAGAAATATTGTTTTAAATGACGCTTCTTTTTAATAGACGCTAGTAATTCATTTATTTGTACTTGTTAAACAATAATATAATACGTTTATAAATAATAATACCACTAAGAAAGAAACTTCGCATCTCACCCATGTTTTTATTTATTTATTTATGTTTACTTTTTTTATAGTTTCGGGTGACAAACGAGCACACAGTCCACCTGATGGTAAGTGGTTACTGTGACCCATAGACATCTACATCTATCCTCAATAAAGACTCAAGATGCAGATGCGTTGTCACCCGTGAGGACTAAGATCGAATGCCTCTTTTCCAGTAAAAAGGGTCTCCGGTTCTCTACACTCACCATACGAAACACAGCAGCGTTAAGCTGCTATTTTACGCTGGTTTTCTGTGAGAGCGTGGTCCTTCCCCGGTCGAGCCGATCCATTCGTGCTACAACTATACTACTAATATAGCTGCAGCATGGCTCTACCACGTTTTACTTTAACTAAAACGGTTAAACCGTTTACATTAATTAAAGAAAACTCCTTGCTCAAACTAAAAAAAGAAAATCTCCTCGCTCACAAAACTTCAGGCATTCAGACAATATTACCGTCATTGCGTTATATGTACTACGTACTAGAGAAGCTATTCCAAACAAAAATTGTGTCCTACTCTATGTCTTCGCGCATGCGCGGGTGTAGGTAGTCGCGCATGCGCGAAAACTTTAATTTGATATAAAATAATATATTAATATAAAATAAATATAAGAATTTAATATAAAATATCTTAATTTAATCTAAACAAACATATTTCTAAACAAAATGTAATAATAAATATTTTATGGAATTCACAAATCTTCAATTTACGCAATATTTAGTTTGTATGGATTGCACTACAGTTCAGTTGAACATAGTCTATGTTCGGAATGGCTTCTCTAGTGCGTAGTACATATAACTCAATGATTACCGTCCATTCGAAAGCAAACAGGTCACACACAGGATTTGTGTCAGGGAGAGCGTTAAGTGCGGCCCGGGGAACGGGCGAGAATAAGGGTGACAAACGAGCACACAGTTCACCTGATGGTAAGAGGATGATGTGACCCATACACATCTACATCCATCCTCAACTAAGCAGCAAAATGCAGAAGCGTTGTCACCGCTGAGGACTAAGATGAAATGCGCCGTTTGCAGTAAAAAAAAGGGTCTCCGGTTCTCTACACTCACCATACGAAACACAGCAGCATTAAGCTGCTATTTTACGCTGGCATTCTGTGAGAGCGTGGCCGTACGCCGATCGAGCCGACCCAATCGTGCTACAACCATAACATAGACCAAAATATAACGAAACGCCAGAAAGTTCGCATGAGTTCGCATTCGTTGCAAGTTACGAATAATTATCCTAATGAGCATAAGATAGAGGCAGTCATAGAATTATTTCAACAATTATATAGACGCTTTAATAGCCTGTGCGCGTGCCAATTCAAATCTACGCCCGTTAAATCTAACCTTATGAAGATGCAGGAGGAGAAAGAAACACAGCTTCAAAATACAGCAAACCAAGATTATAACTTTTTTTATAGAATAAGGGTGACAAACGAGCACACAGTTTACCTGATGGTAAGTGGATGATGTGGTTTATACTCAATTAAGAATCAAAATGCAGATGCGTTGTCACCCCTCAGAACTTAGATGGAATGCCTCGTTTCCAGCAAAAAGGGTTTGATAGGCTGGCAACCACACACGACCTGATAGTAAGTGGAAGAAGCTATTTCACACTGGTATTTTGTGAGGGTGTGAATTATCATGGAGATGCTGCTGACAATCTCCGGTTTCAGTTTTCCTCTGTCGCCTCTGGGTGATGCACATTATACATCTCTCTACAGTTAAGAATGAAAATGCAGATGCGTTGTGAGCTCTGAAATCTATGGGGGAGGCCTCAACATGGGACTTTTATAGGCTGTGGATGGATGTATAGAAGATAATTTAATCTACCAGGAGCACGTGACCCACTGGGAGGTGAAATTATTAAATCAATAGTAACATTACAACTATTGCAAATATCCTCCCCCCCTATGAGGCAATCTATGGGGGAGGCCTATGTTCATCAGTGGACTTAAATGGGCTGTAATGGATGCATGTATAGAAGATAATCTACCAGGAGCACATGACCCACTGAGAAGTGAAATTATTAAATCAACAGTAACATTACAACTGTAGCAAATATCCCCCTATAAGGCAATCTATGGGGGAGAGGCCTATGTTCAGCAGTGGACTTTTATAGGCTGTGGATGAATATATAGAAGATAATCTACTAGGAGCACATGACCCACTGGGCGGTGAAATTATTAAATCAACAGTAATTACAACTACAATTGCAAATATCCCCCTATGAGGCAATCTATGGAGGAGGCCTATGTTCAGAAATGGAATTTTATAGGCTGCAATGGATGGATGGATTTGACGACTTCGCAGCGCATTGACTTAGCAATGAGTTGCAGCGTTAAGGGCAATGTGTTCGTATTTGGATGGCCTACAAATAATTGTTACAGGGCTGTATCGTCCTTATGAAATTTATGTATGTAAACTGCATCCACGATACAGGAGAAGTTACTAGTATGGAGGTAACGTAAAAAAAAAAAACAATTTAGAATTAAGATTATGTATTAAGAAATCCGTTGCTCTAATCATTGGGGGGGTATTTTCCATAGTTGCCACGCGGGTTGGCAACCGCAGTTTTTTATTGTAATTTTGGCTATTATCAGGAAGATGCTGCTGCCCATAGTAAGCTGAAGTGGCAGTGGGCCGGCCATATAGCTCGAAGAACCGACAACAGATGGGGAAGAAAGGTTCTTGAGTGGCAGCCTCGTACCGGTAGGCGAAGTGTAGGGCGACCCCCCATGAGATGGAGTGACGACCTGGTAAGACATGCAGGAAGTCGATGGATGCAGGTGGCTCAGGACCGTGCTTTGTGGCATTCCTTGGGGGAGGCCTATGTTCAGCAGTGGACTTATGAAAGGCTGTAATGATGATGATGATGATGATTAAGAAATTAACTTATGGCGGATGTATTCCCAATACATAATTTTATGTTTTTCGTAAATATATTTACGAATGTTATTATTTTAATATAAAACGTTTCAACGCGTTACGCGACCTAATCCTTGCCTTATCAAAATTCCACGGTCGTTGACTCAGGTCAACAACCCGACATTGCCAGTTTGGGTCACGAATGCATTTTTGCAACGAATCTTATGTGAGACGAAACGCCGGCGGCGAGACATTTGTTTTTTTTTTTTCCTTGGTAATGGACTCGTACGGCCGTACTTTTGCCAGTGTCAATAAAATAATTGTGAAATTTTTGGAAAATTTTAACGGTAGCTTCAGCCAGTAGACAGACGGCAGCTCCAAGGAGATGATTAGGATAGTATCTCGAGGCGCCTAAGCAGACAGATATCTTATGTTGAGATACACATCACCATCGGAGCACTTGTTTCGTCGTTTCTACAAATAGTTCACATGCGCATACATTAAATTCGCAAATCGCACCACTTTTACGTATCAAAAATTACTTTAAACCTTTATTTAAACAATAATACAGTAGCAGCAATACGCCGGTCACCACAGGCGTGACATTTGAGAATAGGTTTTTAACAAAGTTATTTTTGTCACGCTCCCTCACACCTACCAGTATACAGTGCCAGACAACTGCACCTCGGACTGATTATGCCTGCGTAATAAAGACGAAATCACCATCTCGTATTCCCCTGTTTCCTTCTAGAAAACTGGACCGATTTAATTTTTTATTTCTAACCGACTACAAAAAAAAGAAGATAATTCTTAATTCGACTGCATTTTCGGTGTGTTTCCACAAAACTTTTTTCTAGGTGAACCGATTATGATACTTCTTTTTTTTTATTTGAAAGCTGGTGCTTCTCGTGTGATCCCGCATAAATTTGATTAAGATCTGACCTATAGTTTTAGAGTTATCCTTAATAATTCGTATTTAATTGACTTCGACTATATTGATGATGTTTTCATTTTATTTATAGTGAAGTCTGTTGTACAAAATGTTTAATTTTCCCAATTATTTAAATAGTGTAACCTCCCCAAGTATACAATTTCATTTACCTGTTCTAGACATTCCTGATTTACCCATATTTCACACTTCGTTCTCTCTTCGTCCCTTTCAAATACCAGAACCTTAGTTTTATTAGCATTCAAACGGAGACCTTTAATTTCACATTCCTCTTTCATACACGTGACTAATGCCTGCAGTTCTGCCTCTGATGGTGCTATAAGCACTGCATCATAGGCATACAGCAGACAATTTACTTTAATGTCACCCAGTTTCACACCCAAACAGCTATCTTTCAGCTTCTGTAAACAGCTGTCTAGATACAGTATGAACAGCCAGAAAGACATGACACAACCCTGTTTTACGCCCGTTTGGACGCTAAACATGGGTGACAGGTCATGCCCTACCCGTACACAGGCTTTACAGTCACAGTAAAGCGACTGCACAGCCCTTAGCAATCTACCATCCACACCAAATTGTATACTTGGGGAGTGCTTTCAGCCGGGATGGAAGATGTGATTTAGATGTGGACAGGAGTGTCGCTGCCGGGAACAAAAGTCAATGGTGCCCTGACTGCGTTAGTCAAAAGGCAAGGCGTAGTGAAGAGTGCACGCCTTGCAATACATAACGCAATGTTGGTACCGACTTTGTTATATGGCAGCGAAACCTGGGTATGCCAGAAGAAGCATACAAGTAAGTTGAATGCAGTGGAGATGCGATCTCTTCGTAAAATGTGCGGCGTTACCATGACCGAGCGAAAGCGAAACGAAGAGATTCGCAATATGGCAGGTTTGAAAAATGACCTTATCACAAAAATTGATAAGGGCGTGCTTCTATGGTTTGGGCACGTTGAGCGAATGAGTGAAGACCGAATGGTGATGAAAATATATAGCGCGAAAGTAAATATTAAAAGGTGTCGAGGTAGACCGAGACTAACTTTCGAAGACCATGTGAGCAAATTGCTCGAAGAGGGTAGGGTCAAGAGTACTCGGATACCTAGACGTGCATGTATGAAGAAGATAATGAATCTGAAAGAAGCGAAAGAGGTATGTAAGGATCGTGACACTTGGCGATCTATTCTCTCTGGCTACCCCGTCAGGGATTGTGCGTGAAGATAAGTAAGTAAGTAAGTATAACCTCCATATACTTAATTTAACTTAACTTTGGTTATATTAAATAAAATATTAGCTCGTGTCATTATTCAGGAAAAAAAGAGAGAAAGTCTTTGTATGGAGTAAATGCCGCTACTTGAGAGAAAAACTTTTTACTCTTTTTTAGGCATATTGCGCACACAAAAAGTGTGAGATTTGGCATAGTTAAAGATTATATAGAGATCGATAAAGATTGTTAAAGATTATATCGATACAAACACGGCGCATCACTACGCCTTTTTATACGCCTTTTAGTGCGAGCGAGAGCGCAGTATAACCGATGCCGTATCCCCGTTTTATGGCCACGACTGTCTCGTACGTTGACGTTTAATGTAGAGTACCTAATGCAGGTTAATAATTTTTTTTTCAAACTTACCACCATCTCTGTCAATAATCCCATTCGACGCCGACAGCATGATCTGCACCGACAAGCAGAACAGCCCCAAGATGACGAGAAAGCGAAGCACGGAGGCATACTTTAACCGGGGCATTGTTCACTCAGTGACTGGGGCTAAGTGCATTTTTGGGACCCGCCGCAGCGCCGCTATATCGCGTCACCCGCAAGTAATTAGTTCACTCGTTCGACGGTAGATGGTGTTGTTTCATGTTCGTTTTGCACGATTACGTCATAATGTGGAACTTTGCCTTCTTGTGGAGCTTACGCCGTTTTAACTCTGCAACAAAGAAATTTCAATCAACAATGTTGCATTCGTTTATTTTTTTTTTTACAGAATAAGAGTAACAAAAAAGCACACAGTCCACCTGATGGTAAGTGGATGCTGTGGCCTATAGACATCTACATAAAAAATTTCCATTTAAAAAACATGCGTCAGTGTCGTGGAACACTCGGTTGGAACGAAGTTCCTTATTATTAATAAACGTATTGAGTATATTATTGATTAACAAATATAAATTAATTAATTATTAGCGCCTATTAAAATGAAGCGTCATTTAAAATAAAATACACTATGACACAAGGGGTAGCGAAGAAAAAATCTTACACTTTTTGTCGCCTAGCTCCCATCCGCCAAACCCGTACCGTCCGATAAGGAACTTCGTTCCAAAAAACGCAGACACGTTGGTCACCCATGAGGACTAAGTTGAAATGCCACTTATCCAGTAAAAAGGGTCTGCGGTTGTCTGCACTCAACACAGGAAACAGCACTATTCCGTTGTTTCACGCTGGTATTCTGTGAGAGAGTGGTCCTACCCCGTTTGAGCCGACCCATTCGTCATCATCATCATTCATCATTACAGCCCTTCACAAGTCCACTGCAGAACATAGGCCTCCCGCAAGGAATGCCACAAAGCACGGTCCTGAGCCACCTGCACCCATCGACTTCCTGCATGTCTCACCAGGTCGTCACTCCATCTAGTGGGGGGTCGCCCTACACTTCGCCTACCGGTATTTGTGCTGTAGCTATATTACAGTTTAAATAATTAATAGAATCAGGCGTTACTTTGCGGAAATGCATTATATTAAAAATGTAAATAAATAAAATACAAATTATGTGTCTTACCTACTTTGAAGAATATCTCCCGCCATCCCTCAATTACGTGTACTATTCCCGTTGAGTAGTGGTGTTGAGATTAGTAGTGACGGGAATAGTGACAATTGATGGAGGGCGGGAGCTAATTAATTATTAACATTTTTAAAATGAAGAACCGTGGTTGCTCAGATGGTTAGTTAGCGCTCGCTGTAAGCTTTACAGTACGCGAGCAACCCGGGTTCGATCCCCGCCGGCACCAATGAAATTGTTAATTGCAATTTTAAGTGCTGATTTACCACGTGCTCGGCGGTGAAGGAAAACATCGTGAGGAAACCTGCATGCCTGAGAAATAAGAAAAAAAAATATTTCGAAGACATGTGAAGTTCGCCAACACGCATTGGGGCAGAGCGGCGGACATTTCCTTGCCCTAAAACCCTCTCAGAAATGAGAGGAGGCCTCTGCCCAACAGTGGGACGTAAATAGGCTGCAACTTTACTTTTTACTTTTTTAAAATCCTAATTAATATAAGAAAATGACACTTTAAAAATAACATTATTAGAATTTAAAAAAAATAACATGAATTGATCGTACGCCGTACAGATCTTAATGAGCATACAAGGTCATAGTCATGAAAATTATTTTATTGTCCCCGGTACTTAATACGTCTGCAAACTTTCAGATTATCACAACGTCCGGATGTGACCAGGTACAAGTGGTAAAATTAAAAATGTTGTACAACCGACTTCAATATAAATCATTAAGGATAACTCAAAAACTACTGGTCAGATCTTGATAAAAAATTATATGGGACCACAGAGAAGCACCAGCTTTCAAATAAAAAAAAAAGAATCATCAAAATCGGTTCACCTAGAAAAAAGTTCTGAGGTAACAAAAGTCGAATTGAGTACTTCCTCCTTTTTGAAGTCGGTTAAAAAATTAATTATATTAAATTCTTACATACATATAATTAGATGGTGGGATTTTTAAACCTCTTACCTATTTCTATTCTAGTACCGTATATACACGGCACGGAAAGTTCTGTACTGCTGGCCGTTCATAAACATTTGAATATACAGTCCGTACCGGATTAAGAATGGGATTATAAGTGGCGTCTAATCGAGCCCGTACCGTCAACATGCACAGTGGCAACAGCGAAAACCCGTTAATAATGGTACATCGTTGTAACGCTATATTATTCGGTTAATTGGAAATTATCTTTTAATTGGAAAATGAAATTGAATGGCATGCGCATGTAGATACATTAATTTTACAATTAATTTAACTATTATGGGATTTGTTTATGTTTTTTTTTATATATATAGAAGAGGGAGCAAACGAGCATGCGGCTCACCTGATGGTAAGGGACTACCGCCGCCCATGAACAACAGCAACACCAGGGGAACCAGGGGAATTGCAGATGCGTTGCCGGCCTTTTAGAATGGTGTAAGCTCTTAATGTGGCGTTATTCAGACTCAAGATAATCTAAAAGCTTTTAGAAAAACTTTTACTATTATCTATTAGTATTATCGCCAGTGGTGTGTCTTGCCTAGTGTAGTGGTGTTGGGAGTAGCGGTGCTGGGATTAGTGGTGACGGGGATAGTGCACGCAATTGAGGGAGGGCGGGAGGTGCTCTTCATACTAGGTAAGACACATCATTTTATTTTATAACGCGGATATTTGCGAAGTAAATTTTTCTAAAAGCTTTTATATAATGGATTTCCGCAAAGTAACGCCTGATTCTATTAATTATATCAAGATAATCATTAAATATCATTTATTTCATTTTATCTATATTTCTATTTTAATAAAATCTCAAAATGTTTCGGATACAATTTAGTCTAGATCACTCCTGGTATCATTCTATATATTATATTCGTCAAGTTTTATTACAATCGGCTAAGCCATTCAGAAGATTAGTTCGTACAGATAGACAGACAAAAAAAATTTTAAAAATTGTTACTCATGTTCAATGTCATGTAAATATATTATACAAAATTATTAACAAACAAACACAACAATAATTAAAATCTCATAGAACGCGATGAACAGAATTTTCTTGTAGTTATGGCTTTTTTTTGCGTATGAATGCCCAAAGTCACACAGAGAGCTATGGAGATGACTATGCTCGGGGTTTCTCTGCGTGATAGACTTTAAAACGAGGATATACCCAGTAGAACCAGAGTAACCGACATAGCCCAACCGTTTAGTAAGCTGAAGTGGCAATCGGCCGGCCTTATAGCTCGAAGAACCGACATCCGATGGGGAAGAAAGGTTCTCAAGTGGCAGCCTCCTTTCAGGCGAAGTGGAGAACGTGTGGGACGTTCACTAGATGGAGTGACGACCTGGTAATACATGCAGGAAGTCAATGGATGCAGGTGGCTTGGGACCGTCTGGTCTACCTGACTCATAGATGGGCGGAGGCAGTAAAGTCCAAAGGGGAGGCATTGGCCGTTAGTTTGGACATAGCGAAGGTCTTTAATCGGGTCTGGCACAAAACGCATCTTTCGAAGCTCCCTTCCTATGGGCTTCCCCAGAAATTGTGCAATTGGATCACCAGTTTCCTTACTGATCGGAGCATCAAGGTCGTAGTAGACGGTGCATGCTCTGATTACAAGCCTACTAAAGCTGGTTTCTTTTGCATATCAATGATATTGTTGTGTATTATGTAACACTAGTTACCACTAAAGCCCTCTAGTGTCGAGTAGCAGAACTAGGAGAGTCAAGATCCTTCTAGAAATTTCGGGTACCGATATGTACTCGAACATTCTAGATGTTTCTACAGTAGAAGGTTCTGGAAACTATCTGAGGCCCTATATAAAGCCGGTATAGACCACGACCGAGTGAGTATGGAATTGGCGATACAAGGGAATACTTCGAAATAACTGCGAACTAAAGTGATCAGTAGTACAATTGTGTTTTATTATTAGTGTGGTTTTAAATTGTAATTAGTGTTCTGTAATTAAAGTGTCAATTTTGGTAATTCAATCGGCAGTTTTTAATTGTCTTGAACCCCAAGCTCGTAACAATATGTTGCGAGCTTGCTATGCATTTCACAACATTTCTTGCTATGCAGACAACAGTACTGGTGATGCTCTATACACCGGCCGTGCCAATATTTCTCGGGAAAACGTGGTCGAGTACCGGGACAAACTTGTGTTTGAAGTCGAGTCTTTACTAAACAAAGTTTCGGATTGTGGGCAACTAAATCTAGTCCAGTTCAATCCCCAGAACACACAAGTTTGCGCGTTTACCGCTAAAAAGAACACCTTTGTCGTATCTCCTCAGTTTCAGGGCACTCCCCTTGCTGCCTAAGCCAGTATCGGAATCCTTGGCGTCGACATATCGAATAGTGTGTAGTTTCGTGGTCACTTGGAAGGGAAGGCCAAATTGGCCTCTAAAAAGCTTGGCGTGCTTAGCAGAGTGAGACAGTATTGCATGCCGGCACATCGCTTGCAACTTTACAAAGAGCAAGTTCGGCCTCACATGGAATACTGTTCTCTTCTCTGGGCCGGGGCACCCCAGTGCCAGCTCCTTCCACTTGACCGCATCCAGCGCAGAGCGGTTCGAATCGTCGATGACAGAGTTCTTTCTGATCGGCTTGATACACTGGCACTGCGTAGGGATGTTGCATCCCTTTGCATTTTCTATCGAATCTACCACGGAGAGTGCTCTGAGGAATTGTTCGGATTAATTCCAGCCGCCAAATTTCACGAATGCACATCGCGTCAAAATTCACGATACCATCCTCACCATCTGGACGCTTGCGGTCTACGACTGTACGTTTTACTAGGAGTTTTCTTCCTCGTAGAACTTCTCTGTGGAATTGTTTACTATTTGCGATTTTATCGTACCGGACCGATACAACTTCGGGACCTTCAAGAAAGGAGCTTACACCTTTCTAAAAGGCCGTCAACGCATCTGCAATTCCCCTGGTGTAGCAGTTGTTCATGAGCGGCGGTAGTCACTTACCATTAGGTGAGCCGCATGCTCGTTTGTCCCCTATTCTATAAAAAGATACCGTGCTTTGCGGCATTCCTTGGGGGGGGGGGGGGCTATGATCAGCAGTGGAATTGTGAAGAGCTGTGATGATGATAATGATGAATGATTATGGCGTTTTGTTATCATTGATTTCAGTGACAAGTTGTAATGAAGATGTTCGAAAAACGCATATCGCAACGTATTTT